GAGATTTAAATGGACATGTCGGTAGAGTAGTAGAAGATTTCAGAAATATTCATGGTAGCTACGGTTTTGGAGTAAATAATGAAGAAGGTAGAGCTATTTTAGATTTTACTTTAGCGTATGATTTTGTTATTACTAATACTTTATTCAAGAAAAGAGATGAACATCTTATTACATATAAGAGTGGATCTAATAAAACACAAATTCATTATTTTCTTATGGAAAAGAAGAGATCGTCGCGATTGTATAGATTGTAAGGTCATTCCAAGTGAAAATTTAAGTATCCAACATCGTTTATTAGTTTTAGATTTTAAGATTAAGAGTTATAAAATAAAAAATACTAAGACTCATCGTTGCAGAATTAGATGGAGAAACTTAAAAGACACAAATAAAATTATTTTATGAGTAAATTTTAAGATTTTAAAAATTAGGATATTCATGAAAAAGCAAACGTCATGTGGGATAAAGTAACAAACATTATTAAACAAGATGTGCTTGGAGAATCAAAAGAAAAAGTATTTACAAATAAAAATAGTTGGTGGTGGAATAATAATGTGCAAGAAAAGATAAAATATAAGAAGTTATGTTATAAAAATTTGTTTAAATGTAAAAGTTTAGAGAATTGAGAAAAATATCAAACGGTCCACAGACAGTCTAAAAGAACAATTTGTAACGCTAAAAATTCTGTTTTTAATGATCTTTAGGAGGGTGAAAAATATATGTATAAACTAGCCAAACAAAGAGAAAAGAAAAGTAAAAATTTAACTCAAGTAAAGTGTATTAAAGATGAAAATCAAAATGTATTTTTCCTAGAAAAAGATATTCAACATAGGTGGGTGAGTTACTTTAATAAACTTTTTAATGAAGTTTCTGAAAATACGATCGGCCTTAGTGATTTTAATATCATGAATAATAATAAAACGTTTCATTTTTACCGTCGCATTAGCAAAAAAAAATTTGAGGAGGCTTTAAAGAAAACCAAGGGTGGAAACTCTGTAGGACCTGATGATATCCCAATTTAAGTGTGGAAATATTTGGGAGATTTAGGAGTTTCTTGGCTTACTAAACTCTTTAATATTATTTTAAAAACTAAAA